GAGCAGCACTTCTGCATCCGAGCAAAGGCAGCCAGGATGGAGTTAATCTGTCTCCTGTCCTTGGCTGTCCTCTGCACAGCACGGAAGCAGCCTGTCCCGTCCCAGGAGGAGCTGTGCTGCTACTGAGAAGCCTGGGAGCTTTCTGATGCTCCTCAGGGTGATGTTTTTGCCCACGAGCCCAAATAAGCAGAAGAATGTAATGCTGTCTGGCACGAAGGGCTCTTCAGGGAGCTGGATGTGAGCTCAGCATCTCCTGGTTGGGGCAGAGCGGAGGTGTTGGGGGAAATTCCAGCTGCATTCTCCTCCCTGGTCGCTGAGCAGGCAGCGCAGGTCCTGGTGCTGGGAGCATCTCCTGGGGGTTTCTCGCTGCCCTGCTCTCTGTGCTGAGCCCTGCCCCGAGCACCCCCATGGCAAGGGGCACAGAGGGCTTGCCCTGGGGGATATTTAGAGGGATGGTCTGAAAAATGGCACATCTCTCTGAAGCCTGGGCTCACCAAGCCCCCCAGCAGGGTGCAGCCACAGTCGCTCTGCAAGGCTCATACAAATGTGCGGAAGGGCTGCAAGCTGCGCAGTGCCGCTGCTGCCGGCTGCGAGTGCATTCCTCAGCTCCTGCGCTCCCCAGGTCCCACACCGCACGGCGTCACCTATTTATAACTGCATGCGCTGCAGGAGTAATATTAGACTGATGGCCTCACCCAGTCACACTAAATGTTGTTCTATTTATGTGATTTGCTCTTCTTCACAAGCTGTTGGTCTCCCAGATGCGAAAACACTCTGCAGAGCATAGACAAAACTCTGATTTTTCTCTTTTATTAAAATCTTCACTAACTGCACCCAGTCCCAGCTATATTTACCGTTTTTTCCTGGGTCACCTGGGGTAATTGCATCCACTATTTCTTCCCCAGTCTGATGAATATTCTTGGTAAATAGGATAACCTGTCAGTCCTGTTCCCGTAGCCAAAGGTACTTGAGCAACGAAATTGTTTTGCTGAAGAAGCAAATGCCTCTCGCTGAATCTGAGGATGCTGTGACCTTTCATTAGTGACCTCAGTGACTCACCCCTTTTTGTGTGCATGCTGCAGCCTCCCGCTACGCTGTAACAGACACACACAAAGCCCCGCTGCCCGGCGTAACGGGGAACTGGGACCTGCAGGAGCTCACGCCGCTTCTCCTCCGGCTTCGCACGTGGTCTTCACACCCCCACCCGGCCTGGGGGCTCTGGTGTATGGACATGCCCTGTTTGCATGGTGGGGACCCATAGTGCAGCATCCCAGGGCTGGCTGGGCATTTCACCCTTTGCACCATTTCGGTCCCACAGTGATGTCCCCAGCACCCCCAGCCCTTGTCCCAGCAGCAGCTCCCTCTCCCACGAGCTGTGGCAATCCCTGACGGGGTAACAAATGCATATGTCCATATTTCCAACCCATGTGTGTTTAACAAACAGGGTTTTTCTGGCCATAGCAACCCCCTGAAGTGAGGTGGGCAGCTCAGTCAGAGCCCAACTTCAGTCGGAGGCCACGTGTCACACACCGTGAACTCTGGGGTCACCAGTGGGAGCAAATCCTCCTGCTCCAGCGGGCTAACCTCGAGTACCCCTGCAGCCCGCAGCTATCGAACACGGCCTGCCGATCATTTTCCGGAACTCGAGGAGTGTCTGCAGCTCCTGTGGCATTTGCTGCTCGTTCCCACTCCCTATGCTCGCACACGGGAGCCCCTCGCCCCCAAGTTTTGCTGGTGCCTCTGGAAACACAAAACCCTGGAAACAGGACTTGTTTAGTGTCTTCTTAGAAATCCGTGCAAAGTGAGATAAAGAATTAAACAGAGGTGAGTCCTATGCATTTAGCGGCTGCTGATAGCGACATTTTCTTCTTGTGGAGTGTTTCGCATGCCAA